CTTCCGTGCCTAAAAAATGTTTTATTCACTCGTTTTATCTTTCAAAAACGCAATTCTGATGCAAAACTTTTTATAAAATGATGGTTTAAGATTGGTTGTCTGAAAACGGTAGGCAGAAATTATAACAGGAAGCCTTTTTTCTGCGCTTTAAAGCTTCTATTTCTATGCGAACAAATCAAAAGTAAAATCAATAGATTATCAAACACTTTGCTCTTCTTAACAGTTTTGATCATTCAAAAAGTTTACTTACAAAATTAGGGTAATTTCTGCACTTCTCTTGAATCAAATCTTGATGTGTGCAAACTTGCTCTACAAGCATAAAACAGCCTTTATAGGGTTGACAAATATGTTGATTTATGCACCAAGACATCCATTCATCTAGCCATCAATTCATCACACGATTTATCAATCAATCTACACATCCGTACAGTCATCTATCCAAACATCCAACCATATAGTCAGCCATCTGTCCAACCATACATTCATCCATCAAGCCATTCATAATCTGTTCATCCAGCCAACAATTAATCAAACCAGTCCTTTGTCTAGACACTCATCGTACAATACACCAATCAGCAATACATCCAGCTCTATATCCTTCGATCAATTGATCACCCAGCCATCTTATTTTCCAGCGAGTCACCCATACTTTTATCCAACCATCTGGCCATTCGAACATCAAGCCATGTCAACAGCAATCCAGCCAGCCATCAATCGTTCATCTGTCTATCCAGGACTCCATCGGTTCAACTAATCATTAGGGCCAACTATCCATCAATCCATCCATGCCTCCGTTCATTCATCGCTCGGTTCAGCCATTCATCCAGTGCATTCAATCGAATTTGATTAGAGCTTAAACAAATTTTTTTTTTGTGAACTTGGGGTCATTTGCTATATTAAGATATCAACAGTTGTCAGATGGATCATTAGTTTTACATAGGGATCATTAATTTTTTATAGGGATTAATAGTTATAAATAGGGACTATAAGTTATATATGGAATAATTAGTGATACATAAGGATCATTTTTTTTAAATATGGGTTAATAGCTACACGGAGGGATCATTAATTATACATAGAGACCATAAATTTTTTTCAGAGATCATCAGCTACCACAGAGACATTAGTTATAAATCGAGTTCATTAGTTATACCTAGGGATCAATATTTATACACAGGGATTATTTAAAGGGATTAATAGTTATACATAGGGGTTATTAGTGATATAGAAGAATCATCAGTGATACATATGGATCATTAAAGTTACATAGGGCGAATTATTTGATTATTGGGGTAATAAGCTAAGCATAGGGTTCATCAATGTTACATAGGAAGAATTATTTATACTTAGGGGTATTTAGTCATGCATAGTGATTAATAGTTATACATAGGGATTAAAAATTATAATACATAGGGACAATTGGTTATATGTAAAGATTATTAGTTATGCACAGAGATCAAAAGTTATTCATAGGTGTAATTGCGGATTATCTAACAATAACGCAGAAACGAAAAGTTTTGATAAAAAAAATGAAAAAAAAAAGATTTCGAAAAAACTTTAGAAAAAAAAGTTTTGAAAAAAAACTTTTTGGAAAATTTTTTTACAGTAAATTTTACAAACTTCTGAGAAAAAAATTGAAAAAAAAAAATTTTTCGGAAAAATTTCTGAGTGGAAAATTTTTCGAAAAAAATTCTGCTTAGGGACCATTGCAGATCACCCTTTAATACATAGGGACTATTGGTTGTCGTGTAAAATATACGGATTATTGGTTGTCATATAATAAATGGTGATCTATACCTAATGGTCATCCATGTATGACAACCGCCCCCTGATCCTAATGCACTATGTGCATACTAATTCCCGGTTTGACGCAACTAAGTGTCGAGATAAACTACGAGACTCATTTCGGTTCTTCAAGAGCTATTTGGACATTGATTTTTCAGCTAATCAAATTAAGGCCTACCATATTTGAACGGAGGCTGGCATTGATATTTTATATGCAGTAATCATAGTCAAGTTTTTTTTATTTTGTTTTCTCATCTTGTTAGAAAGTTTTAAAAAAATAGAAACGAGTTGAACAAAAGTTTGCCTAAACAAATCATCAAAGCACGAAGCAGAAATGAAAGCAGAGGCCAAAAAAAAGAATCATAACATCAAAAAATTTTGGTTCCTGTTCTCGTCACTGACAGAAACAAAACTACTGTATCTTTTGCAGTGAAACATTTTGCTGAATTATCGAATTTAAGCAATCCAATAAAAAAAATGTAAACATCAAACAAAAGCACGATAGGCGTAACACAGTAAAAGCGTACATCTCACCTGAAGCTAAAAAGCAAAACAACAACTGAGGAAAAAGGATAAAAGACTGATGAAATATTAAGTTTCGTAAACACACTGAAAACAAACTCAATTATTTCTATAATTTTGTATCATATCTTAATTTCAAAAATTTCTTCTTTGCTTGAATGACTCTGTTCAATTAAACAACACGAGAGCTTTCGAAATCCTTTGAAAAAAATTCCGCCGCAGTTTTTCAAATTTTTTTTCTTCAAAAAATTGCTATTTATTAGAACCACCGAAATAGTCTCCGCAGTGTATTTTTTCCGAGCTTTTTCTGAAAAATAAGCATTTATCGTCGGATATTTTTACCGCAAAGGGTGATGTTTCTCCCAAGCTTCAAAAAGAAAAAACATAGGTGACGATATTGCTAAACATTTCAAAAGATAAAAATGAGAAGACAGAAGGTTTATACCCCTCATATGATATGAATGACAAAATTTCACAAACATAATAGGCTTAAGCAAAACACCATAGGTGGTCACAAGCGAGTGTTTTCGTTGAAATGGAAAAACTTTTGGTTGGTGGGGTTGGCTTTTTGGAGGAGAAAGGAGTTGGAGGAGACAGGAGAGTTGGTGGAATTGGCTTTTTTATTCATAATGACACGAATCTTTAGAGCATTAATGGTTTTATTTCACACCAAAATCAGTTTTTGACTATCAAAGTTCACTTGAAATTGACCAGTTTGTTTCTACGATTATTTAATGGAGCCCTGGGTTGAAACTGATTGATGAAGAGTTTGGAAAATTACTTGGATGTAATTGATGTAGGACCCGATGATAAATATGGTCCATGTTGAGATTCCAATCTTGACTATCCAAAATTCCAAAATAAAAATGCATGCGAGGATTGTCAGCATGCTTTTATTCCTAAAATTCAAAACAAGTTAGTATCATCTTGCCAAATAATTACATCCAAAAATACGAAGATGTGGTGTACTCAAAGTTTGCCATTTTTTGAAGGTGTCGAATACATTGATACAGAGCATTCAACATTATCTACCTGCCTAACAGAAAAATAAGTTGAGTTCCTTGATTAAATTTCTCAACCAGACAAAGCTGACAATGCGACTAAGAGGTCCCATTCAGGCCTTGTTGAAATCATATTTGTTAAAAAGATCACAAGTAGTCAAAACAGGCGCTGAAATGTCATAAAATGAAAATTATTCCTTGTAGATTTCCTGATGGGGTCAGTCCTTGGGTATCTACTGTTCATTTTAATTATAAAAGTTTTAACAACGATTACAAACTCAGTGAACACATATGTATGCGCTGATGATACAGCAGTGAAGCAAAAACTACAAATCTTACACTAATACAAAGAGGCTTTCTCACATATAGGAAAACGGTTGAAAATCAAAAAGCTAACTCTGAACCTCGACAAAACTATAAACGTTAACTTTTATAATAAAAATTATCATAGGAGTAGGCAATATAAAACTAGGAACAGTTGATGTTAAAAAGGCCTCTATATAAAATTTTTAGGTATTTATGTAGGCGCAAAATTATACTTAAGATTCCATATCAATCTGTAACATGTTTTATAGAAGCCTTCAAGATATTTTCAAGATACAAGAAAAGACTTGCACATCTAGGAACTATTGAAAAGTTTAATAAGAAATTTTTGTAAAGATTTAAGAAACGAACTCCTAACAAAACTCAAAAATGGATTCAGAGATTGAGACATTGAAACATAGAAGTGTTGAAAAAAAAAACAAACCAACAAATGTTTTCACTGGCAAGAAAGCTAAAAGAAAAGGTGTCTTTCGACAAAAAGTATGGTTTTTCAAAATTTTCGAAGTTTTTGCTGATAATGCTGATACACTCAGCAATTTTGATGCTAGTCTGATAAAAATTTTTTTTTTTCATACTTATCGAGAGTTATACGTCAGAAATAATGAAGAAAAGATAGGTTTTTTTAAAATGAATTTGTAGGGTTTGGACTATTTCAATTACCTTACAATTGAAACTTCTTAGTACTTCTAAGAAAAGGAACAAAAGTCAGAAAAAATAAAAAAAAACTTTTACAATTGTTTTCAGTGGACGGAACAGGGACTATAATTGAGGTTTTCAGGTTTGGAGTGAATTTAAAGTCATGTTTGAGTAAAAAAAATCGAGAGAACTTCAGTGAACGAGTTTTTTTTTTCACTCCAAACTTCACCTGAAACAGCAAAAGTATGATAGTACACTTGATGATCTATCAATTTAATTAAATCAATCGGAAAAAGCCTAAAATGTACCCTCGGCCAGAGCTCCTTTCTTCTCAACCATTTTTCGGGAGTGAATCAGAACAAAAGCAGCTCTCCTCAAAATTGAGAAAAAAATTGTTACAAACCGAAATTCATTTATTGTTCCGAGTTTCGACGAAATTACGGAACTTTTTTAGGCTTTCAGTGTTACAGTGCCTCGATTGAGTTTATGAATAATCATAGCCTGAAGAAACAACTGAACTCATTAAAAAAGATAGATTTCGGAGAATAAAGAATAGCATGCTTTATAAACTGGCTGTTTGAATCCGTAATCGCTCGTTTTGCGTCAAAGCCAAAAGAATCTCATCCAACATATGTAACTGAAATTAAGAGAAGTTGAGAAACCATTTGAAAGCCCACAGTTGTCTCAGGATGAAACATTATGGTATATTTTTAAAATGGGTTTTTGTTTCAGACATGAATCCGAGCCTAGCCCTGCAATCAAGTCCACTGCAACCTGGTTCTCTTCACGAATGTCAACTCACAACGCTATCAGAGTTGGAAAATTATTGCAAACTTAGAACAAGAACTGCCACTAAAACATCTTTTTCAGCAAGAAGTTTATCTTACAATTCAGACCGAAGCAACCCCGGTTCGATTCCCAGCCCCGACCTCTGCAAAAAACTCAGTGACTCAACTTTAAGCTCGCCTGAACAAATTTTATCAAGCTTTGTTCCAACAAAAACAAGCGAGTCTCAAATGAAACTTCTAGACACGAGTGATCGATTTGGTTCAATTTATCTTCTACTTACAGATATTGAGAGATATGTCGCAGACAATATGACCAACAAATCAAACAAACTATTGTCGCTATTGATTGAAAACTGCTCCTCTAAAGAAATCATTACAAGAACTTTTTACAACACTTTCGATTAATTCAATTGTTTTTTTTAAAGACGCTTACTCTATTTTGGAAATTAGATTAATTTTTTCGAGCCTAAAAATACGCTTAGTATGGAAACACTGCTGTTAAAAAAGAGTTGACAGTCTTTTCCTGGAATTCGGATATTTATTGTTTTTTTTTCAATAATGTATCGTAATTGTTTTTAACTCAATTGAGGAAATATGTAAAATCTTTGTCAATCTCTTGTGCCTTTTTTCTCTTATTCTCGGAAATTTCTTTGCCAAAGAATTTTCTGTTCCCAATTCTTGATTTGAATTTGGGTCTTTTTTGATTTTGGAGCGTTTGTTTTGCAATTTTTATCATTATTTTCAATCATAATTGAAAGAGCGGAAAAAAACAGCAGCTTTGAGTCTGAATTTTTAACATGCAGTTTTCCGTATTTCGAAATGAATCCCAGTTTCAAACAAGATGTTCTACTAACGCCATTTCAGTCGCGATTCGGACTCGAACATTTTTCAACGAGATCTCTGAGTAATAAGAAATACAAAATATTGGCTATTCAGAGGTTAGCAAAAAAATTTCAGACGGTCGATTTTTCAAAATATTCCAGTGAAAAGTAATGTACGTAAATCAGTGATGTTTTTTCGAAATCAATTCCCATACATAGACTGTTCAAAGGGGCACAAAAGATTGTTCAATTGATAATTCTTGTAATTGTTTTCACGCGCCTATATTCACATTTTTAGCATAGTGTCAATTTTTGTTCGTATTGTTGACGAAATGAGTAAGCGTGGCTTTTAACCATAAAAAACACACAAAATTGTTTCATTTTATCAAGAATATGGTTTAAGTTTCGTTAACATTGGCAAAAACCTGGGACTGAATAAACAAACGTCTACAGTTGGTAATCAAGGTTGCTTGAATGATCCCACTTTAAATGAGATATCAAAACGCGGTTGCAAGTCCAAAACACGACGTACAAGAAGACAGACTGGGAATCTGAGACTTGAAGAAGGTAGAAAGAAAGAGATTAATCAGATCACTGCAGATAGAATTCGAACTTTTTCCACTAAAACGATTTCGGCGCGACGAAACAAAAGTATAGGAAATTTGAGTCGTTCGGCAGCTCTAAAGGTGAACTTGGGAAGAAGCACAGAACCTCTAGACCACAAACATCTAAACCTCCTCGTACAAACCCGCATAATCGTTCATTTTCACAACGACAAAATTTCCAACAACAAACATCAAATTTCGTAAATTTTAATGATAACCCACGAAATCCAACAGACCCAAGTGAAAACTATCCATTTTTTCAACAGAATAAAAATAGTAAACAACCATACCAAAATACACAAAAAACACCTTACTAAACACCTAATTATCTTTCATCAGATGATGACAATTTTCATGACCAAAATTATCAACAAAAAATTTCAAAACTAACGACTCCGCTCTTATCACGTAAATCAACCAGCTATTTTTGAATCATATACACGAGAACAACATATGCGACAACCCAGACCAAATCACGCATCTCAAAATCATAATTTTTACTCACAAAACCCAGTTAATACAGACTATTATCAACCAACGCAAATGCAAAATGAAATACCACTACCATATTATTTGCAACAACATGAAATAACAAAAAATCAACTGACAAAAAATCAACTGACAAAAATCAACTGACAAATTGAAAAATGCCGCTGAATCACTATAGATGACTATGAATCCATACCTCATGGGTGGATCATCAAAAACATCAAATAAACCACTAATGGTTTTCACAGGCACAGACCCTGAATATTCTGTAGAAGACTATTTAAACGCAGTCACAGAAAATTTAATTTTAAATATCGGACCTGAACCAATTAATACACCACTCCATCAAATTGGATACATAGACGCACAGCGTTAATCCAAACAACACTTGATGGCGCAGCTCAGAAATGGTTTTCAGTTTTACCAATAGACATAAAAACAGATTGGAAAAGATTTACACAAGAATTTTCAAAAATGTTTGATTCTGAAAGAAATAAACAACACCAAAGAGTTTTGTGTAATGAAATTCGCAGACTACCAAATGAAACAATTCAACAACTGGCAGTTAGAATCGAAACACTTGTTCGAAAAGCATACTCACTGAACACTCATGATTATGAAAACACGAAAATGACAGAAATTTTAATGATGACTCTAACACCCCAATTAAGAAAAATAGCTATTAAAAAGAGAGCATCACATCCCTCCTCAATTCGAGAACCAGATTTAGTTTTCAGAAAACTAGTTGATAAACTAGAACAAGCAGAAATTACAATGAAACTCGAAGAAACAGAAAATCTTAAACTACAATACGTCAATAGAATCGAAAGAAATACTACACATATAAACAACATACATGATTCAGATGTAGACCTAACTGAAAAAGTTACTGAAATTTTAAACATTTTTGAGAAAAATCCCAATTTCAAGAAATGGTGTAATTATTGCCGAAGATACGGACACAGCATTGCCGAATGTAGACAAAAACAACAAGATAACCAAAATAAACCGCAAAAGTACAAAGAATCAAATAAATCATTCTATCAATACATGAAAAAGGATCAAAATTTACCAAACAAAAATATACATAGTAATAACAGCTCTGGTAAACCACTCCCAAATAATTCAAACTACTCAAGAAACCAGTCACCCTATAACTCTCGTTATAGAGGTAGATCACCAGAACAACGAAATTCACGAAATTTCTCACAAAATAGATTTAGTCGATCAAATAGCCAAAATAACCAGTATAGAAACAACTATTCAAGATCAAATTCAAACAGAACAGAAATTTTTGATACCAGTTCCCATTCAAAACCTAGGAATAGACACTCTTCAAACGATACATCACGTAATTCATCAAACAAAAGAAATAGAAACTACTCAGATAATAGAAATCGAAGTTATTCAAACAATAGAAATCAACGTTACCAAAACAATAGATCAAGGAATAATTCGTACAACAGATCTATTTATCAAGGAAACAATAACAATTATTATAATAGGTCACGAAACAACTCACAAAGTAAGAATACCAATTATAACAATCGAAGAAATTATTCTTAAACCCCTTAAAGAAACAACAATCGTTACCACGATTCCCAACACAAATATAGAAGTAACACACCGAAACATCAGCGCAGCGACAAATTATTCAGGTACAAGCAACTGGAGAAACAACTTCAGTTCCCCCTGGTATTGACAACACAGAAATTACCGAACTACAATTAAACCACATTAATTGTGAATCAGCAGACAGCGAAAGTGATACTAATAACACTATCTCAGTTAATATGATCACAGACAAAAACGACTACGAGCCCATTGTATACGAACAACCCTTTAGTTCACACATTTACGAAAATCAATCGGAACTTCTTCAAGACTACTATACTAGACCCATAAGAAACGATGTACCAGTTGAACAAAATATAAATGAAATAAACACAGTAGTAAATAATGAAAAACAACGCTCAAGTACAAATCACATTTACGAAAATATACAAAAAGAACAATCAAGAGAAAAAACAATTTGGACAATCCCATTTCTCTTAGAAAGTCCAAAAAGTAAAGAAGTTCAACATCCGATCTTGAAATAGATTTGTTAATTGACTCAGGAGCAGAATCAAATATTATTAACATCCCTACTTGGAATGAAATCAAAACTTTATATCCAATGCTAACACCTATAAAGACAGCCAGTAATTTAGCAACAGCACAAGGCTCAACATTAGTAAATTATTGAAAAATCCAACTTTTCCTTGTTCCCACTAGAACAATGGAACAAAACAAAATACTAAATAAATAAACCATTTAAATAAACTATTCACATTACAGACATAAAACACAATATCACTGGTATACCATTTATAACTAAGTATATTCCCACAATAGAAATTTTGAATACCAAAGTTAAATAAACAAGAACAAAAAACACATCCTTAACATTCTTTCAAAGATTAAACAAACAACAACCATTTTTCTCCAAACTTTATCCTATATACAATCAGGAACGAAAATACCTGAAACCACTAGCAGGAAATGTATATAACTTTTCAATCAAACAAGTCCACCAGTACGATAAAGACCAAAACAAACAACATCTCTTTATGTCAGACCTTGAATTTAAACCCATCCATAAATTTTTTTGAATCACAATTTCATCAATGTTATCAAACATTCAAACTCAGATGTTATTTCATTACACGTATATAACAATTCACCATACCAGATAACACTACCCTTAAGACTCTTAGGATACTGTGAAACAAACGCTACAACTTCACCCACAAATGAAGTGGCATATCGAGTCAATAATATACTATAATTACTAGAAATATGTCAATCCAAAAATCTTGATGAAATTTATCAATAAACAACTTAATAAGCAACAAAAAAAGAAACACTGACTACTTCACAAAAACACCATTTTTCAAACCAACGTTTAAAATATCACATTATACGGAAGAACAACAAAAGTTTCTATCAATGATTAAGTTTCAACATTCTCAAATAACACAGAAAGAATTCGACAAATTAGCCGAACTATTATTAAAATTTCCAACAGTTTATGCAACATCAAAATTCGATGTTGGAAAAATTAGTTCACCACTACAATTACCTTTAAAACCTGACGCAGTTTTCAAAAAGCAAAGAGCAAGTAAAGTACCGATACATTTACAAGATAAAGTAAATAGACTACTTGTTATTTTAGAACAATATGAAATTATATCACCAGTAAACAAAGAAGAACAACCAAAAGGTATTACCTTTTTCAACCCAGTTCTCCTCTTAGCTAAAGGAGAATCACTAAAAATCGTTCTAGATGCTATTTACCTCAATTCACTAATTGACGAATCTAAATGTAATTGGCCCATTGAACCTATTCAAGTAATTCTAACAAAAATAAAGGGTAAATATTTCACAACCGCAGATAAGAATAGTGCATACAATCAAATGAACATGGAGAAACAATCACGACGATTAACAC